GAGGGAGGGAGGGAGGAAAAACATGGCAAATACAAATTGTCCATGACAATTAAAAGACAACCTCCAGGCATTTAATTGTGCTATTAAATGCTATAGGGACAATCGATAAATTGCTTGGTATCTCCTCAGGGACAGTCTCAAAGGGTGAAAAAAAATCCATAAATTGTTCTCACTGAGCCATGTTGGAAACACATGAGGGAGTCAAGAGAGAGGCTTCATTACAGGTAAAAAGACGAAACATTTCATGTGGCGTCTTCTGCTGCCAACACTGACAATGTTTCAGGGATCGATAGTTGCAAAGTTTCACTTTAATTCAATGTCAAAGTTCTAGAAAAAGGTTTCCATTTCTGATTTCGTTGTTTCTGCTTTCTCCTGCTCCATGGTGCCTGAGCAGGAGTGGGACCCCTCTCCTTATCTCATGTTAGTGTTTTTGAGTATTTCCCCGAGTTGATGGACTAAATGTTCAAAAGCATCTCTGAAATATCATCATGCTATTTCTTATAACATATTGTTTTATATGAATAATTATATCTGTAATGAAGGCCAAAACCGAGTGCAGATGAAGTGTAACTAAAGAGACATGAATTTTTAAAAACTGGCAAAATTATGAAGCTGCACATATTCAGTCTATCATTCTTTAAATCTATAATTTTGATGTCCTTTCAGACTTGGTTATTTAATGGCTGTAGGCTCTTTTTTGTGACACCCTCGATATAATTTAATATTAAATCATTGTTTAAATAAATACATAAATAGGATTCTTTCCATGTCACATTGAGATGTGAAAAGCAGTATGTGGGTATTAGAAGACTTTTAAGTACCCTGTTTTAAGATAATAGCAAAATATTCAGCACTTTTTTAAATTTCAAGTGGAATCTGACAGCAAGCACATGTAATTATCTCAGAATATAGTTTAAAAAAAAGTAAGTCAGTATTTAACAAAGATGTTAAACTACGAAGAAGCAATTTGGTTCTTTCCCTGCAACACTAGGCTTGTGAGGAAAAAACACACAAACACTCTTATGTTTCCTTACCACACATAAAAATTGGAACTTAGCAAATACAATTTTCCTCAGTCTTTCACGTTTGCAAAACAGAACAAAACACACAAGAACAAGATTTATACTGCTTCTCATTAAATTTACTGAAGATATTTTTCTAAAATTACTATCTACTAATGCAGATTTCCCCATTTCTGATGTGAGAAAGGTATGGTCATCAAAGCAGGGTAGATTATCTGGAGGTCACAAAATTATAAGCAAAATCTTAAGTGATTTAAATGCAAATTTAATGTCATCATTGTATATTTAATGTTATGAAATTATGTTTTTATTTATTTTTTTGACCACTCAGAGACTGGTGATTTTTATTGTAATCAGTATTATTTCTATTGTTTAAAGGCAGCATTCATGGTCACAATATTTTATTTTTATTTTTTATTTATTTATTTTTTTAAATATATCTTTATTGATTTCAGAGAGAGGAAACAAGAGGGAGAGAGAGAGATAGAAACATCAATGATGGGAGAGTCATTGATCGAGCCCACAACCCGGGTATGTGCCCTGACCGGGAATCAAACCCCGATCGCCTGGATCCTAGGTCGATGCTCAACCGCTGAGCCACGGCCGGCCGGGCGCTCACAATATTTTAAATCTAATAATTATTTTACCTTAACCTGCCATTTACCACTTACCTTGTATATCCTTAATCTGTGTATTATTAGGGGTATTCAAATACATTTTTATTTGATTATACAACATGTTTATCTGTGTTTTGTATTATATCACAGTTAGGGGGCATGCCTGTGGCGTTAAGGTAGAATTTAAAGTAATATACAATAATCCATGGATATCTCATCTTCAGTGTATTTTATTTCACCTCCATAGTACTGTGTAACACAGTGACTTTAAACTACTATATTCGATTGCACACACCTTTAAACTTATATTAAAGACTATAGTATTTCTCTATTCAAAGGGAATTTTTATACATCTTCATTATGTGAAAACAATGCCGATGCTTGCTTACAGGGTTGCTGGGAGAGATAAGTGAAGATTAAATGATCCAAAGTATTGGTTTCGTATATGAGAATAAAGAGTTTGGGATAAGTTAAATTTTTGACCAAATTTTTGTATATCTATATATCATGCTTCTCCATGTAAAGGCAAGTAATTCTCACTTCAGCCTGTTGCCGTTTTCTTGTGTATGCACCTGTCTAATTCCTGCCAGTTGTGTTGTGTCCCGGCCTGCATCGCTCACCCCCACTGAGAAGCACGTGTTAGAAACTGGGAAGGCTGACGTATCTTGTTTATAGGAGCTCTTCATACTAAAGACCTCGCAGGCATACCGTATGCGACCTGTTGACTATGCTGATGTGTCTTTGCAGAATAGGTTTCCTGGACCCTGCATGGACACTGGAAACCTGACCGTGCTGAGCGAGTTCATTCTCACGGGGCTCACAGGCCGCCCTGGGCTGCAGGCGCCGTTATTCGGGCTCTTCTTGGTCGTCTACGGGGTCTCCGTGGTGGGCAACCTGGGCTTGGTCATCCTCACCAAGGTGGACTCCAGGCTCCACACGCCCATGTACTTCTTCCTCAGGCACCTGGCTGTCACTGATCTTGGGTATTCAACGACTGTCGGGCCCAAAATGCTAGTGAGTTTTGTTGTGGATCAAAACACAATCTCCTATCATTTTTGCGCCGTGCAGCTGGCTTTTTTCCTTGTGTTTATCGTTAGTGAGATTTTTATTCTTTCCGCAATGTCCTACGACCGCTACGTGGCCATCTGTCAGCCTCTGCTCTACCCAGTCATCATGTCACACAGGCTCTGCCAGCTGCTGGTGGCTGTCCCCTACCTCTATGGCACATTTGTCTCGCTTCTCGTCACCATAAAGATCTTCAGTTTATCCTTCTGTGGCTACAACGTTGTCAGTCATTTCTACTGTGACAGCCTCCCCTTGTTATCTTTGCTCTGCTCGGATACTCGTGAAGTTGAAATGATTATTCTGATTTTGGCGGGTTTCGATTTGCTTTCCTCCCTGCTGGCAGTCCTTGTGTCCTACCTCTTCATTCTTGGGTCCATTCTCAGGATGCGCTCTGCCGAGGGCAGGCACAAGGCTTTTTCTACCTGCGGGTCCCACCTGACGGTGGTCACCGTGTTCTACGGGACCTTGATATTTATGTACGTGCAGCCTGAGCCCAGCCACTCCTTCGACAGTGATAAAGTGGCTTCCATCCTTTACACCCTGGTGATCCCAATGCTGAATCCCTTGATCTATAGCTTGAGGAACAAAGATGTAAAATGTGCGCTACAAAGGGTGTGGGGGAAACTATGTAATACTTTTTCTTAAGGTTTACATACAGTGCGATCCTTATAAACTAGGCTGTGGACTTCAAATTTTGCTCTATGTGCCTCCTAGAGAAACAGCAAGCACAGATGAGGTCAAGGCTTATGTATGGCCTGTCTTATAGACGCCAGGCACTTCTGACTCCTACAAATAGATTAATGAACAAAAGAGTAAAAATATTTGCCGTTCTTGAGGGGGAAGATGGATTGTATACTTAAATTACATAAATGCTGTGTTACAGTGGCCTGTCAAGGATTCTGGTGTTTCATCTATTAGAATAAAATCACAGCTTGTGTGTGTGGGTGTCTGTGAGTGTGTTTGAATGTGTATGAGTGTGTGTGTGTATGTGTGAGTGTATCTGTGTGTATGTATATGTGTGTGTGAGTATGTGTCTGTGTGTGTCTGTGTGCATGTGTGCATGTGTGTGCATGTGCATGTGCCCTTTCCTTTCCTTTGGTTTCAGCCCTAAGAACCTCCCTGGTGTGTTAGGGTCGTGTTTACTGATGGCTGGGCCTGTGTCACCTGGTGATCTGGAGCGCTCAGCCACATGGCTTTGCTCAGATGCCCCTCCCGGACATCGGGACCCCACTGCCCCCGTCGCTGCCTCCGCTCCGCATCTGAGCCTCTCCTCCGAACACACTGCCCGTAGGCTCCGGCTGGCACCTGAGTTTTTCTCCGTCAGTCCCTCTGGTTGATATCGGGTGATCTTCAAATTCACAGACATTTCTAGGTCTGTCCTGTTTTCCCCCGACGAGTTGTTCTTGCTTAATAACTGGCTGCTTGGTTGTTGAGGTTGTGGTATTTCCTTGCCTCTCTGAAAAAAGAAAGTAATTTTCCATGTTCAAAAGCTATTTTTAGTGTCCTTGGGGAAGAGACCTATCCTGTGATAAACCGGCTGTGCGGCCTCGCTTCGCTCGGGTTATTCCCCATTGTGATCAATACCGATTACGCGCCGCGTTTCACTGCACTGATTGATTATCTGGTGAATCAAAGGGGAAGAGCCCTGTTGCCTGCACGGTGCCATGTTTCTAATGTAAGTGAAGCCTGAGACATGGCAAGGACATACTTATCTTGCCTTTTGTATACAGCTGCTCCATGTCACTCTCCACATCTTCCCACGTGCTTACTTTTATTTTTTATTTTTCTATTGTTTACTTTCATTCTTTTTAATATTACTACGGTTTTATTAAAGCTTTTTGTCTGCAGCATTTTCTTTGTTCACTATCATGCAATTAAAATTCTGTGTTTAGCATTTAATAAAAATATTTCGTTGGGATACAATTTTGGTTTTTTGTTGGAATAAAATTCCAGGGGTTGCCAGGGGTTAGGGCACAGAGAGGGATGAACAGGAGGAGCTTGTTGGATTTTTAGTGCAGTGAAAATACTTTGCATGAAACTCTAATCACGGACACAAGTCATTAAATATATGTTCAACCCATAGAATGTACAACGCCAAGAATGAGCCAAATGTAAACCGTGGAGTTTGGGTGGACATGATGTGCCAGTGTAGGTTCATGGGTTATAGCAAATGTAGTACTTACATTTGTCAATGGGGAGGGGGGCTATGCATGTCACCCAGACCTTACTGGGCATGTGTCTAAATTGCAGCTTCCCTATGCTCTTTCCCAGTTATTAGTTAATAACCAGGTTATTACAACACTACCAGCAGGACATAGTCTGAGACATGAAGATTGAGAAGCAGAATTCCAAAAAAGCCAAATGGTTCTTGCTAATGATTTGTAGAAGGAATTCTTCCAGGGACAATATAAAAGATAAATGTTCTTTCCCAAAAAAGAGGCCTATGAGGGGAATATTTATTCTTTACTATGAGCACTCCCTCCGATTGGGAAATTAATTTAAGGATAATAGAATATATTGACTCTGATATTGTTAAGCTACTGAACCAAAAAAGCCCTGAGGCCCAACATGTGATCATTTTAAAATTTTAATTAAGCCCTCTTGCTTGAGCCAGTGTTTGTTTCCTGACCTATTACATGCACGGGGAAAACATTCCTAGACGATATAATGAAAACAGTGGAGCACCACATGCAGTTGTGAAGGTTGAAAACTATGTTATTTAGGCGGGTGCCATTCATATGGATGAAGATGGGAAAAACTCCTACCCAAAGATGTACAATTTATAGAGTATTGTCCTGATTCGTGTACACACTCAACAACGGCCCATTACAGTGGTTAGACTGATAAAGGGAAGAACAGACCTCTCAGGAACATACACCAATCCTATGAGGCAAGTCTTCACTAATCAGCATATACAGTTTGTCATTGAAAGAGCTCCTGAAATACAAGAGAATGCTAATTGAGAAGTATGAGTATGAAAGTAAAGTATTATTATCTTTAGAATAAAAAATGATCTGTGATTCATTAAATTTTTAATGATTCACAATTACCATAATATTCCCAAGTGTAAAATTGTGTCTGTGGTTTGTTATTAGAGAAAGGAACCATTGCATTCCCCAGAGAGTGTATCTATACCTATATATTTATATACCTGTATATCTATCTATATCATCTATATCTATCTATCTGTGGTGACAAACACCCCAAAACACAAATGCTGTGCCATGCAAGCCAAAAAAGAGATGGTTGCCTGCACAGCCAGGAGGCCTATCCGCATTTGGGGTGCAATGGCAGATGCAAAGCAGGAATCCACAAAAGGAAGGCAGCTGAGGAAAAAGTACATGGGTGTGGAGCTTGGGAGTGATTTGGAGTAAGAAGAGCAGCCATGTGTTCCTTCTGCCAGATATTATATTCAGCACTAACATTTTCATTCACTCAATGAATACCCCTTGAAGAGCAAGGCCAAGCTAGACACCATGCTCTGCACTAGAAAGGGAAGGATCTCTAGCCAATGGAAGACTAGATGTAACTCCATCTTCCCCCCAAAAATATTTTAAAACAGAATACATTGAAATATTGAATAATAAAGTAAAACATACTATAACAATTGTAGATAACACATAAATAAATAAATCTGTTATTGTTCTGAAAAGGAAGAAAATGAAAAGTAAACATGAACTCTGACACCATGGCTCTCCTAGGAGCATCTGCAAAAACTTTAGAAGTGAGATTCAAATTGTTCAAAAAAGTACTAAGCCTTTGCGCCCTGGAGCAGCACAGAGTTCCACTAAAGCCCACAGATAAATCTGCTACCTGAAAAAACTGGCATTCTCACTAAAATTCTAACTAAAAACATTTGCTTATCAGCAAGCATTATAAACACACTTGCCCACCATGATCAGGCATCTTGTTAGGAAAAAAAGAAGCCTCCTCTGACAATTAGTAAGCACAGCCTTTCCTCACAGGGGTTGAAATTTGGATTTTGCTGTCTGCACAAGTGAGGAAGCTTAAAGCTGAAAAATTAACATACAATGGTCTGAGTCGGTAGCACTGTGGCTACCAGAAGTGACCTTCCAGGATTGTCACAGAGAAGTCCTGTTAGAAATGAACTTAACATCCAGCTGCAAACCATAATGAGAAAGAACATCTCCATAATCAAGACTCTAGAAGGCGATAAATACATTTAAAACATTTTTAAAAATAAAAGTCAAATGAACAAAAGGGAAAAAGGCAAAATGGGTAAGTCTTTACCCCAAAGACCAAGGTTATAGGCTGACTTACTGACAATGGCCTAAGCAAGGGGTCAGGAAGAATGAATGAATGAATGAATGAATGAATGAATGAAAATACCTGTGAAAAAATCTAGCTAGTCACAAAGAAGTTGTGTCTTCGTGTGGGAAACAGATAGAACCCACTGTTGCAGGGGGGTGAGGTCATAACAAGGAACAATTCTGAGGAAGTCACGTTGCAGCCAGCCGCTGCGTTTCTCTAAGTAGCCTGCAGAGCACAGGAAGCGGTTCTCCACCCCTGCAAGTGCCCACCAGCAGCTGGCACCTGTGGGACCCGAGCCTGTGAGTGGCAGCCAGATGAACCTCAGCTGCCTCCAGAGCGCGGGGAGCCACGGGACTCAAGTAAAAGAGGTGCGGCTGCTGCCATCTGGGGCCCGGGAGAAAGCGAGAGGCCTGCTGCTAAGGAGGCCTGCCACGAAGGAGGTCTGCCTGCCACTAAGGAGGTCTGCCACTAAGGAGGTCTGCCTGCCACTAAGGAGGCCTGCCACTAAGGAGGTCTGCCTGCCACTAAGGAGGTCTGCCACTAAGGAGGCCTGCCTGCCACTGAGGAGGTCTGCCACTAAGGAGGTCTGCCTGCCACTGAGGAGGTCTGCCACTAATCAGGAAGATCCGGTGCCCAGAGCAAACGTGGGCCCACATAGGACTGACCCATGAAACCGGGGCTGAATTCCTTCGCCCCCTCTAGGCCTCCTTCTCACTCCCTCCCCTACGCTGCTTAGTTCCAAGGCTGCCCCACCGGACCCCCGAATTAGGCTTGGAGGGTTTGCACGGCCCTTCCTCACCTCATTCTTTAAATTGGCTCCCAGCCTCGGTTCCCCCCAGCTCGTTTTCCTGCCTCGTGAGGTACGCCCTGGGCCTGCCGGGCTCGTGAACTTGGGCTCAGTGCCGGCGGGCAGGCGCGTTTCTCTCAGTCCTCCTGGCAGTGCCATCGCCCACTTCACCGCCCCGACTCCGACACCGAGCGTGGCCAGCCCAGCTCCCGCCGCGCACAGAAGTGGCTGTTATTCCTAAACATTTTAAAAATGGAACCTAAAAAGAAGAGGGGAAAAAGGAAATGTCTGAAGGAAGAAGGTAAAAAAAGCTTTCCCATATTTTCGTGGTCGCCTACGTGGATGCTATGAGAGTCACAGGGGACGCAGCTGACTATTGATCAGGGGAAGCCTAAGGCACGGAGGGCCGCAGCTGGGACACCCTGGAAGCCGGGATATATTGTTAGGGAGCTAGACGCTTCCACAGTTAGATCTGTGCTCAACTGCACGCAGGCTTCCCTCGGTTCTTACACACGCGAAAGTCACAGGGGAGGAAGGCGCGAGTGGCATTTAGGAGAGACGGTCATACTATCCCATTAGATCTTGATCTCAGGGGCTGGACTGACCATTACCCGAGAGTCATGAGCTCTCAACTCGGGAAACACCACAACGGAGGTAATCATTGTTGGAACTCACTGCATTACAGTAATTGTTACAGATTTGTCACTCGAAAGGACAAAGCACATATATGACTCATTTAAAGATAAGGCATTATTTTCAAATCTCCTGGTTATCAGCCATGTGGCTTTGGGCAAATCACATGGTTTATCTGAGCTCCCCGTCCTCTGAATGTGAGAATAGTAAATCTCTCTCACACACGTCAGTGACATATTTTTCACCTAGTGCTGCTACATATTTTTACTTCAATAATGAATTAAAAAAGGAAACTTATGTAATGTCATTTATAAGTTTATCACGATTTTGGGAACTGTGCCGGTTTTACGCGGATTAAGTTGATGTCCAAGGATTTTCCACAGTTGCTTCAATCACTGACTCTGTGAGTGCCTTTATATTGTGCAGGTCTGCAGGGACTCTGCACATCATTTCCATTGTTTCCTTTCTTTCCTTGAATTGCCCCAGGTTTTTTCACTGGGGAATGTGTAGGGTGTCCTGGGTAATTAACAGGCACCGGGAAGCAATTTTTAAAAATCTCTCAGATGATTTGAACATAAATTACATGCGACTTCTTCAGGCACAAGCATCATAAATTCTCCCTACCTAAAGAAAAAGTGAGAGGAATTTAGGAGAAGAAAGTTCAATTCTTCATTAAAGGTGAGCGGATAGAAGCTGTGTTTTGATTGCCACCTTTACGCCTGGCTTCTGACTATGGACACTCTCGTGGTCACTGACAGCTGATTCTAAAATACCACAGAAATTCATTATCTCCTTTGTTAGCTGGGGTTCTCTGATGTGGAATGGTATTTTTAGGGCATTACATTCTATGAATTAACTAGATATCAGAGATTCATTTGATTTATGAAAGTCACTAGGGGCATTTGGATATTGCTAGTGAGGAGGGGGTTAGGATTTCCAGATAAAATGCAGGGTTCCCAATTACACTTGCTTTTCAGATAAACAACAAATAATTTTAATATGGTATGTAATATTTTATAAATATTATTTTATATAAAAATATTCAATGTGATTTTGGAAAAAATATTTTGATATATATATTACCCATACAATATTTTAGAAACTGCAAATAATTTTACTATAAGGATATATATCTTATATATAAGGATAAGCTCCCATGATGAACTTACATATGTTTTTAGTTCTTTGCTTTTTTCCCCCTATTGGCTGCTTACTACTCGGTTTGTTTTTTTCAGAATAGGCTTTACAAACTGTATTGTACACTAAAAATCTTTAACAGGGGTATATTTCACATTAAGTATTTTTACTGCAATAAAATTAAAATGTAAATTTCAAAAAAAATGAGCAGGGTAAAAGAATCTAGACATGGGGAAAAATTCAAATAACACTGGACTAATTCTTAGCAAAGCATCGAAGACTTCAACATGGTAGGATTGGTACTGGAATTCTGGATCCTTTGCTTAGTCCAGTGCATCTCCCAGTCTATAGGAAAACCCACCATCGTAGGCCCTGCAACACTTGTTCTTATTTGTGAAAGAGGAAAGAACCTGAACGCAGAGTGGGATCAAGGGAGGAACCGCAGGCAATTTCATGTAGGGAAGAGGGATAGAAGTGGCTCATGAGCGTCCACGTTGCCACCACCCTGCTCTCCCGCCCCTGCCATCCCCTATTCCTTGGATCAGACCGGCTGCATGGATAGCAGAAAATTATCCCTAAATTCTGCCAGCAGCCATAGGGTGGCTCCTGACTCCGCTGCTCAAAACTAGGTTTGGACTTTGGGCTGGGCTCCCAGAAGTTTCTACCTGATAGTTGTCCAGTCTAAAGCTGAGCATTACATTACATAATTCTATTTTGCATTTTAACTGGCTGAAAATTTTGAATTCCAATTACTCCTGCAATTGAAAATCATACTTACGAGTTCAAGATTTGCACTGAGGAGACCCTCAATATGAGAGGAAGGGCACACGGGGGCACGGAGCTAAAGCAGCTTCTCTGTCTTCAACCAGAGCAGTTCCACTTTGTTTTCCTGACTCCCCATGTAAATTTTGTGAAATGAAGAGGTCAGGACTTATCACTGAAACATTTTTAAATTACAGTATTATATTCTGTATCTACTCCATTGTACAATTCAAGAAATAAATTGACAGTAATATGAGATATAATAAATGCTCAAATAAATATTCTAAATGCTTTATATACCTTATCATGTTCACAATGGGGGAATAAATTAATGCATATAAATAACACATTAGAGGAAAGAAAGCATATAAAATTGAATGTTTAAAATGCCTCAATATTGATATAAACCACATATTTTAGTAGAAATGGATCCAGCTCTTATGCCTCTGGAAGCTTATACTAATTTGAAGATTTTCTTTTTATAAAAAAGACCAAAGGTTATACATATAAATTAAGGCATTAATATGAATATTTATTTAGAATGGAAAAAGAATTTTTAAAATTTCAGCTGTCAATGAACAATTAGTCACAAATATCATAAAATTATAAGTGTAATATTTTTATTACTGAAATTTCAGACACATCTCAGCATATTGGGTGGTAAGAGAGTTCTTAGAAGCCACTCCAGCACCAGGATAGCATTTCTCAACAATGAACTTGACTCTTATAAATACACCCACTAAGCATCTAAGTATTATTAGCTCTGTCTCCTTAGCTGGACCCCACAAATGCCTGTGCACGTGCCGATGTGCTATGATACTAGTTGAATATGGTGGACTCAGAGTAAGAGAGAGGGCTTGACTGAGGGTAAAATAGCCTACATTTGCAACTTTTACAAAGATCTATCACTTCATGAGTGTATGGATAAGGCCCCACCTTGTGAGAATGAGGAACCCAACATCTTAAACTTCATTAACATTATTTTATCTGTCTCTCTTCTAGAAAATCAAAATGCCACAAGAATTCTCAGACAGAAATGTAAGTGTACTAAAGAAAAATTGTGATGCCATTGTGTAGATGAAATAAATATTTCTAATATTTACATGGCTTTAGCCCAGCCGGGTGTGGCTCAGCGGCTGAGCATCGACCTAGGATCCAGGAGATCGGGGTTCGATTTCCAGTCAGGGCACATGCCCGGGTTGCGGGCTGCAGCCAATCAATGACTCTCATCATTGATGTTTCTATCTCTGTCTCTTCCTCTCCCTTCCTCTCTCTGAAATGAATAAAGATATATTTAAAAAATATATATATGTATTTATATGGCTTTAAAAAATTAATGGCTATGTTCCAAACGTTGTTAACTCCAGTCAGAGTTTAATCTGTCATAACAGTGCTTGTGTTTCATCTGTATCTCTTCTCTTGGGAAGTAAAAGATTATATCACTCAATGTAATTTTAAAATCAGATGTGGGAATTATTTTCTATCCCCTATTATGAAAAAGGCTTTTCTTCAACCTGTCTACAAAGATTGTTTAAATGACACTACACAAAAGCTAAAAATAACCCCTCTGTTTCTTTCCAGAGCTATCTGGACTCAGTGGGCCAACAGAATCTAACACAATTGTCTGAATTCATTCTGATGGGAGTCACAAGGCAGCCTGAGCTGCAGGTTCCACTTTTCCTGGTCTTCCTCACCATCTACACCGTCACAGTGGTAGGCAACCTGGGCATGATCCTTTTAACCCAGGTGGACTCCCACCTACACACACCTATGTATTTTTTTATCAAACACCTGGCTCTCATTGATCTTGGTAATTCTACTGTTATTTGTCCGAAGATGCTGGTAAATTTTATTGTGGATCAAAATGTCATTTCATATTACGCATGTGCCACCCAGTTGGCTTTCTTCCTTATGTTTATTATCAGTGAATTTTTCATCTTGTCTGCCATGGCCTATGACCGCTGTTCCGCCATCTGTAACCCTTTGCTCTACAATGTGATTATGTCCCAGAGACGCTGTCATGTGTTGGTGGGCATCCCGTACCTCTACGGTAGCTTTCAGGCTCTTCTGTTCACTATTAAGATTTTTACACTGACCTTTTGTGGCTCTAATGTCATAAATCATTTCTACTGTGATGATGTTCCCTTGATACTTTTGCTCTGCTCAAATGCACAAGAAATAGAATTCTTGATCATACTATTTTCAGCATTTAATTTGCTCTCCTCCCTGCTGGTAGTTTTGGTATCCTACACTCTGATTCTGATCACCATATTTCGCATGCATTCTGCAGAGGGCAGGAGAAAAGCTTTTTCCACATGTGGTTCTCACCTGACAGTGGTGGTTATATTCTATGGGTCCCTACTATTTATGTACACACAGCCCAAATCCGCTCACTCCTTTGATACTGATAAAATCGCCTCTGTGTTCTACACTTTAGTGATCCCTATGCTTAATCCCTTGATATACAGCTTAAGGAACAAAGAGGTAAAAAATGCCTTCCATAGGGTTTTTAAGAATCCATGCAAACTTTGTATTTAATAATCAATTTGGAATATTGTTCTAATAAACTCTGATAAAAGCAAATGTCACTTAGTATGTCTAATAGATATAATTACATTCTTTTTTACTTTTGAGCAAAACCTAATTATAATGCACTAATAGATTGTTTCCCTAATATTCAGCCAAATTAATCTTCATACTTTAGATCTCAATTAAATGACACATCCTCCTCAGCATTTTTTGCTTTTGAGAATCAGTGTTTCTTTTAGTAATTCCATAGAACCTGACATTTTTCCCAGTTGAAACACCAAATTCTACCTCAGTAAGCTATGTGTTTCTTTCTGTCTTTTCATTGTTATTATTTTTTAGGTCAGGGATCGTTTCACTTTTGTTTTTATTCTGTTTTCTTAACCAAATACAGCAGTGTAAATACAGTAAGTCTCTTGCAGATAGAATATAGTTGGATCATGATTTTTTTAAAAAATCTATTCTGCCAATCTCTGCCTTTGTAGAATTTAATCCATTTACATTTAAATTAATTACAGATAATGGTGACATACTTCTGGCATGTTGCTCTTTGTTTCCCATCCATCATCTCTCTCTCTAGTTCATCTTTTCCTCCATTGCAAGGTCTCCTTGAGTTTGTGGCTGAACACTAAATGGGGCCTACCTACAGTGAAAATCCACAAGGCTGTTGAAAGAATTATCAGGGAATTGTAAGGTGAACAATTCCAGAGATCACACAGCACAGGTAGACATTAAAGTTCCAAAATCCAAAGAATAGAGTCCTTGTTCAACACCCAGGCATCCAGTAGAGATCTCAGAAACAAATGTTCCTTAAGACTGCCACGCATATAGTTTGAAAATAAGCCTCAAAAAGAGCTATCCAATCCTTGTTTAAAACATTGAAGTTTTTTTTAGGAAGACAGGAGAATATTAAAGCACTCATTAACATAAAACTTTCAAAATTCACCATGCAATCACAAATACTAGATATATGTGAAAGCAGGAACATGTGACCCCACCCAGGAGATGATTAACATAGATCTTGAAATAACAGTGATGATAGAACTATCAGACAAAGACTTTAAAGCATATATATGTTTGTGGTGTAAGTCCTGACTTTTGTGTTTGTTTTTTTGTCTTCTTTTTGTAATGCAAGTTCCTGGCTTAGGTTTTGGATGCCCAGGCATCAGTTTCAAAGGGGCACCTCTTCAAAGACTACCTTCTTTTTTCAAATACAGTTTAGTTTCAGGTGTAGAGCATAGTGATTAGATAATCATATACTTTACAAAGTGGTCCCCCTGATATTTCAAGCACCCACTTGGCACCATACATAGTTACTGCAATATTATTGACTGTAGAGCCTATGCTGTACTTTGCATCATGGTGACTATTTTGTGACTACCAATTTGTGCTTCTTACGCCTTCCACCTTTTTCATGGAAGCCTTGTGCACTGTTGGTGAGAATGTAGATTGGTGCTGTCATGATGGAAAACAGTATGGAGGTTCTTCAAAAACTTAAAACTGGAACTGCCTATGATCCAGCAATTCCACTTCTGGGTATATATCAAAAGAAACCCAAAACAATTCAAAAAATTATACGCACCTCTATGTTCATTGCAGTGTTATTTCCAATAGTCAAACTATGGAAGCAACCCAAGTGCCCATCAACAGACAAGTGGACAAACAGCTGTGGTTTATATACACAATGGAATAGTACTCAGCCATAAAAAAGAATGAAATCTTACCATTTGCAACAGCATGGATGGACCTAGGGGTTATTATGCTAAGTAAAATAAGTCAGACAAAAACAAATACTATATTATTTCACTTATATGTAGAATCTAAAGAGCAAAATAAACGATCAAACAAAATAGAAACAGGCTCATAGATACAGAGATCAAGCTGATGGTTGCCAGAGGGGAGGAGGTCCACAGAACTAGATAAAGAGCCAGATTACCTCCTCCCACTGATGTTTGGCTCAGATATGCTGTGTAATTTCCAGGTCTTGTAAGTAATAAACCTGTATCTCTTTAAAGTTTCGTGGTGGTTATTGCTGAAGGGAATCTTGTGATCATAATTAGAACTACAAGGGCTCATCCATCACAACACTGAATATTGATAGGCTGAGACCAGTACAAAACAATGTTCAATATAATTGAATGATTTAATAATAACACTAACCCTTTGAGGAGACAAAGGAAAGATTAAAAAGTAACCAAATGCAACTTCTAGAGGTTATACAATATTAGATATGAACAAATATTTATTGAACGAGAGTAATAGCAGATTATACACTGAAAAAGACATGATAAGTTAAACATATCACAACAGACACTACTCAAAATGAAGCCACAGAGAAAGCAAAATACTAAATAAACACCATGAAAATAGTGGCAGTGATCTGTAGATTAACAAGCTACATGCTGTACATTTATATGTGTGTCCAAGTTGAGAAAATGAACTACATGGTACAGAAAAGCCATTGGAAGAAATGTGGCCAACATTTCTTCCAAATTTATTTTTTTAAAAACAAAACAAACAAAAACCCCTATACTCCCAAAAATATAAGGAACTAAGGTAATTCTAAGAAAAATAAACAGAAAAGAAATTAAACCAAAGCATGTCACAATTAAATTTTGAAAACCAATGATAAAGAAAAATCCTTAAAAACAGAGATGAAAGGTACTTTATAAAAAGATGAAGACTTACTACTGATTTATTGGCAGATATAATACAAGTCAGAAGACATTGCTTTAGGTCAACTGAAAGTTGCATAATTTTTTTAAGAGGTCAGTTTCATTTACTCACACATTGTGTGTATGTGTGTATGATGTACTTAATAATTACATGATTATTGTGTAACTGAGATAGTGATAAAAGCATATTTATAATTCCAGTGTTTAGTAATATTGTAGAATTTTATTTTTTCAGTTAGACCCACATAAGAAATATTTTTACCTTTTCCTAATGGGACGTTCTGAGAATAATTAACAGAAATCCAGGGCACTCTCTCCCCTGGGTAAGTACATGCAATCCTTTTATCAGATTAAAACTTTAACAAAATGAGTGTCAAGAGGGTAGAAAAAAAACCCTTAAATACATTCTCCAACAACTAGCGATTAAGACAGTAGGAAGTCAAAGTGGGTTCTCCACTCAGGTGAGTAGAAAATACTGGTTTGAAAATTTCTCAGGGTAGACAGCTTAAACTGGATTATCACCAAAGATCTTGAAGAGCATTATGCTCTGCAAAACTGTTGTTTTCCTTTGCAATATACATTACTGTCATCAATAGAATCAATGGGTAAGACAGACCTGACACTCTGCTCTATACATTTAGACCATCTTGGTTTTCAAATGAACTTACTGCTTTAATCATCTATGGTAACAAGGGTTTTTGTCTATCTCTATTTACAAAGGGTCCCTTCAATCTTGCTTTCAATTTCCTATCTATCCAGGGAGACCTTAATATAAAGGAAGCACTGTGTTTATAAAACTATATTCCGAAGACATAATGATTTTATTTGAATCCTGACTCCACTATCTATTCCCTGTGTGACCATGGTTAATTTATTTCACTCCCTGTGCTTCAGTTTCCTTGACTCTCAAATGGATATGATTATACTCTCTACTTCCTACAGCTATTGTGTGGATCATATGAGTTAATATATGTAAAGTGCTCAGAACAATGACTGGCGTTCTTTATCGGTGCTCGACAGTCATTTGTATTCTTTTTTCCAAGCCTCTCCACTAAGAACTCATGAATAATCAGAATGGCCAAGTGTTCTTTATGCAGAAGAGGGATGTATGATTGGAAAATCATTAGGAGAACTGACTCCATAGGCAGAAACAACAGATGTGCCAAATAAGGACTGAGATATTAATAACAAAATCCTAAAATTAACGTATCATGGCCTTAGATTTTGTATTGGGTAAACAAGATGAACTTACAGTGAGAAGTACTGATATATATATTGATTTTTCTTGATCACTCTACCAACAGTTTAGAAAGTCTTTTGTCTTGCTACTTTAAACAGACATGATGATTGTCAATAATGTAAGGTATATAGTTTAGGTGTCTATGTTTGTTCACAAATTACTTCAAATATTGAAAAAGCTGAAATCAAATAGGTCTTTTGGCATACTTCAGATGACTTTGGATCAAAAAAGGAGATCATAATAGCTGTATCAAAGCAACCACTTCAAAATATCTTGCCCCTTTAAAGCATACTTTACCGAAGTTTCAATGAATGTGTGTGTTGTATTGGTCTCAGACTATCAGTAGGGATGTTATCAGCTAGGAATGCTTGAGGACACACAGCTGGGCCTTGCTACTTATTGCAGCCCCCTCCCGCCACCCAACAGTTCCCTACCAAAGCCAATGTTGCGGCAAAGTGCAGGAAGGCCAAAGCAGAATTATTCAAACAGTCAGTTACCTACGTCCCCCACGGCTTTTTTGTTGTTCAAAACAATACAGATGCCCAGCTTTTAAAAAGGGAACTTTAGAGGTGAGGCAGCCTGGCTCTTTCTCTAATCGTGTAGCTGCGCCACATTTATTCAAAATGGGTGTCATTAAAATGTATGCCTCCACAATCAAAAAATTATTGTCAGAAACTTATAGTACAATCAAAATGGCTAGTTTGCAGGCACCGACCCTACAGTGTGAATGTAGGTATGTATAGCTGTGGCCTGATGGGAAGAGGAGTCTCTATTTATAATTTAAGACAAAGAAAATATCTTTGTATCTCATCCATTACGTATCCAATTCTCTTAGAACACAGCATCTCAAATGTAAGTATTGCTTTTATACCTTACACAAGTCCCCTAGAAGAACCACATGGAGACACACAATCATAGCGCAGTGACCACGGTGACTGAATTTATTCTCATGGGGATCACCGACAACCCTAAGCTGCAGGCGCCTCTCTTTGGAGTGTTCCTGGTCATATACTTGGTCACAGTGATGGGCAACCTGGGCACGGTCATCTTGACCCATTTGGACGCCAAGCTGCATACTCCCATGTACTTTTTCCTTAGACATCTGGCAATCACGGATCTTGGCTACTCCACTGCCATCGGCCCCAAAATGCTGGCCAGCTTTGTGGTGCAGAGAAACACAATTTCCTCCGGCTGCTGCGCGGCGCAGCTGGCCTCGCTGGAGGTTTTCATCATCGCCGAGTTCTTCATCCTGTCGGCGATGGCCTACGACCGCCACGCTGCCATCTGCAAGCCCCTCGTCTACGCGGTCATCATGGCCCAGAGGGTGCGCTGGGCGCTGGTTCTCGCCCCCTATGCCTACGGCACGTTCGTGTCGCTCTTTCTCACTGTCAAGTTGTTTCGCCTGCCCTTCTGTGGCCCTGACACCATCAGCTACTTCTACTGCGACTGCCTGCCCCTGCTGTCCCTGCTCTGCTCCGACACGCGCGAGCTGGAGCTGATCGTGTGCATCTTTTCGGGCTGTAACCTGCTCTCTTCCCTCTCGGTGGTGCTCGTGTCCTACGGCTTCATCCTCGTGGCCCTTGTCAGGATGAAGTCCCCGGAGGGGAGGCGCAGGGCCTTCTCCACGTGCAGCGCGCACCTGACGGTGGTGGTCGTGTTCTACGGGACCCTGCTGTCCATCTACCTGCGGCCCAGGGCCAGCCGGGCTGCCCACGCCGACCAAGCGGCCTCTGTGTTTTACACCCTGGTGATCCCCATGCTGAACCCGTTGATCTACAGCCTGAGGAACAGAGAAGTCAAAGATGCTCTGAAAAGGACTTTAACTAAGCGCTGCAGAAGCTCTGCTTAACATCCGGACAGTCGGTCGCAGACGTGGGCCTTTGTTTAATACTCTGGCGGCCCCACGGCGGCACCAAAGGGTGGAAGCGTTTTACAGGCTAAGTGTCCTGCTTCTGGATAAAACATTTTCTCTGCTACCTCCCTGTAGTCTTCTTCCTTCAGTTAGATAGATAAATATTGTAGCCAGATCATCTAAGTTCTGAGTCATTTTTCAAGGTCAGATTGGAAGTTATGTTATTTAGAAATAAGGCAAATCACACGAGAGTTTTGGTTGAACTCAGGCATGCAGACGTAAACATCACAAAAACAGTCTTAAGTATTTAAAACGCTATAAAATTAACTAGAAAATTAGTAATATATATTTTATAATAGTCATTGTGTATTAAAGATAAATAAAGTTAAACCGGGAAGAATATGTAGGCAAGGCAGGAGACAAGAAAGTAAGTAAATGTGTGATTGAGGATAACACTGCATGAGCCAACTGTTTCAAGAATCTAGGCTTATTAACTATTCTCACTCCAATAAATTTAATTTAAAAGGACTCTAGGCTATATAGGAAATAAAGCATGCCATCTCAGAATAAAATTTTCAAATCAGATTAATTTTTCTCTCAAGGATAGAGTGGGCATATGGGAAGAATTTTTTCACTAGGAACCATAAAAATAAAAATACAAAGGCTGGCTATTTCCAGGTCCCTCTTGACAGATCCTCACACTGTGGTTAACTTTGATTTATGATAAACAAGTTGACTTTGGATTGGCAAACTCAAGATAAATGAGTTAACCGGTCCTCTGCTGGAATGACACCAATATTTTGAAAAATCTATAGCAGTGGCAACAAAGGTTGATGCCTGATGCAGCCCAGGGTGAATTGCATTTCACTCTTGTCTGGTTTTACTCCTTCGTGAGCTTGTGTTCGGGGAGACAATGTTTTGCGTGGACTCTGCTAACACAATGCTTCATTCGCGTTGCGACCCACTCAGTAAATGCACAGATTCCTTATGCTTTAGTATTCTCCTCTTCAAATCAGCATTTCTTAGATTTTTAAAATACACACACTACCCAGTAAAGCTTGTTGCAGTCTGCCCTCGTGTTCCAAGTAAAAATTGTGGGGAATTTTACTAAGCACATGAACCAGGGCCTCTTTCTCTCAGACCCATGCGTTTTGTTTAATTTTGCCACATTATTCATGAACTGGAATTTACTTTATTAAGAGTTGATCTTAAGTATTCTCACCACAAAAAATAAAATAAAAAATGTGAGGTGATGGGTGTGGTAAATAGCTTGATTACTGTAATCATTTCGTAATATATACATATATCAAAATATTACGTTGTACGCCTGGAATATATACAGTTTTTATTTATCAGTTGTAACACCAATAAAGCTTAAATTTTTTAATTTTTAAAAATAAAAAAATTAAATAAAGCAAACTGAACAAACAAAAAGAAATACAAAATCACATCAATTGTGTTACCATGTTGGCTACAGATCCTGTCCCCAAGCATATTTATTGTTTTGAATGAATTTTATTTTTTAGAGCAACATTTTATACCATACAGCACAAACTTTGTCACATATATATTTCCAAATTCTATTATTTCTGTTACTTTTCACAACCTAAGGGTAAAAAATAATATTAATAGCATTCTCCAGTATCATCCATAAAGAAAGGGCTTTAAAAACTTGCAATACACATAAGAACGAAGCCTGGAAGAGCAAATACCAAACTGATCATGGCAGTGACCTTTGGGGACGGGGGAACAGTGGAGGTGAGGGTGCACTTTCACTGCTTAGCTTACATTCTTCTAGCTTGTTTGAACTTGTATCAATGAGAATGTCAACTGCAAATATGTTGGCGAGATATGGTTGTTGCAGGAAAATAGCGAGCTGTAAATATGCTTGAAAATAATGCACATTTAAACCTGGGAGAAAGTGAGATATTGCAGGATTTCTCATTCACAAAATTGAACGGCATTTGGGTTATTTTGTACCAAATATTCCATGAGTGTTTGATTTGAGATTTAGATACACGCATATTTGGACAATTATCTGTGGTGTAACTTTGGACCTCAAGCTCTGAGTTCATGCTCTGTCTGAAAGCAAAGGGGCCAGGCTTGAACAAAATGGGTAACAGTTAAGCCAGCAAATAAAATCCTGTTATTCAGGAAAAACACACACAAACAACCTGTAATACATCCTGATCCCTGCCACCCTTTCTTATTTGAAAATTCATCATCAGCATCCTTCTTGGCCAAGGAACATTATTTTATTGTTTTAGTGTTAATATCAACATTCAATTATGGAGTGCAGGTCAGTTTGTATTTAGCCACCCTTTGATTGATATAATTTTGTTTTTTGTAGGTTTTTCCTTCTTTTGCCACTATAAGAAATGCTGTAACAGTAGCCTTGTGCTCATAGCATGATTGCAGTATTACTTTTTATTTCTAAAATAAACAATAAGGGTTTTTTCACATAATAATAATGTGTTGTTAGATAAATGTTTTACACACATGCATAGCAATTTGAAATAAAAAATAAAACACTAAGGAAAGAGCTATGCAATGGGACTTTTTTAAACATAGTATTTTCTTTTTTTGTTCCCAAGAAAGGATATTAACATTTACTGACATCATTTTCATGGTGTGATGACAAAATTTCAAAATGGCAATAATAGATGAGTAACTTCAATGACGTAAGTCCTGACTGCCACAAGGGAGATTCAAGGGGTGCCTGTTTGAACTCTTAGAGGGAAATCTGGTTAAGGAGCCAATCCCTAGTGGCATCTTCCCCAAGGAGGTAAAAGGCAACTTGGGGATCCTGGAATCATCCGTGCCTCAGAGTTAGGGTCTCAAAGGTTTAGAGAGCCCCATAAATTCCTACTGCCACAGCCAGGCAGAGATTCCACTAAGAACCCGAAGCAGACTCTGCATTACAGGTAGGTAGAAAATACTTATCTTATTTTTGTATAATGGCCCTTAAAAGATCCCAACTATTCCTCAAACTGAGCCACCCAACTTTCATTTTGGAAAGAACTGGACATCATGTATAATCAAGTAATACAATATTCAAAGTAAGGTTTGTTTCCAAGATTTACAAAAAGCTTGTTTTGGGAAAGCGATATGATCCAGCTATTTATGTTTCCAAATGAGAGCGGACATCATTATGGCTTACATAGTTAGATAAATTATATCATTACTAAAGCAATAGATTTTTGTTCACTGAGATGATTTATATCATAGTCCTGTTTCTGCAGTATTAGCTAAAATGAAAACTGCATGTTTCACAGGATAACCTGTGAGAAAACTAGACATACAACTACCCAGGCGCCAAATGATACTCCGTTTTGAGACTATAACAATCCATCACAAATTTTTCTCAAGAAAATTTTCCATGAAATCTGATAACACACAGGCAACTATATCTAGAGAAGCATAGTATGTAGTTAATGCAATAATGACACCTATTTAGGTAAACCGTCTATTTAATAGTAAAATAAATCTGCAAACATTTTAGATGAGAGACCTCAAAAAGGACTTTGATTCGAGGAGAGACACTACATAAACAGGAGCAAGACTTGAAGAAACTGCAGACCCCCAGATTTCTGCTCGATAGGACAGAACCTTTATACTATTCACAAGGAGAAAATAAAACCCAGGAAGAAAATGTTCATTTACAGGGTTGCCCTCAAATCCACTGACCTAAAAGAGAATATTCAAAACTAAATTCATTTTTTTTTATATTTAGCCCTAGAATTTTATAATAAAAATATTCTAAGTACTTGGAAGTATTTCTACACCTATTTTTAAGAAATTATTATTATGACTGTCATAAGACTAAACTATTATTATGAANTACTTGGAAGTATTTCTACACCTATTTTTAAGAAATTATTATTATGACTGTCATAAGAAGACTAAACTATTATTATGAATGTCATAAGAAGGCATTCAAGTATTTGGGGACATATAGTTCCTCAAGTCTTTCCCCCACTCAGTACAAGTGACATCAGATGAATCGTGGCTTCAAATGTTCCCTTCCAAGCTATGACATAGTCACAATTCAATAAGCTTGTAGGAAGCGCATCCTCAAAATTCATGACGCTGGACCACCTGTTTAAATTGCCATGCCTGTTTTTTCTCTGTCTCAAGCGGCTGGAAAGTTTATTTATTAGACCCAGCATTGGACTTTAATAACTGAGCTAGAATAATAGATGGTCCCGGGGACTCTCAGCCAGGGAGTCGCCCCTGCCATCTAATGGCAGCCCCAGGAGACAGCTCCTAAGCCTTCTAACCACTTCTTTTCTCCCAGGCAGATGAATTGCCAAACCCAGTCATGGCTCCTGCGAACCTCTCCCGGGTCACCGAGTTTGTTCTCGCAGGTGTCTCGGGCCGCCCGGAGCTCCGGGTGCCCCTGTTCCTTGTCTTCCTGGCCATCTACGGGCTGACGGTGACAGGGAACCTCAGCATCATCACGCTCACCTGCGTCGACTCCCGGCTTCGCACCCCCATGTACTTTTTCCTCCAGCACTTGGCTCTCATCAACCTCGGCAACTCGACTGTCATTGCCCCTAAGATGCTGATCAACTTTTTCGTAGCGAAGAAAAGCATCTCCTACTATGAATGCGCCGCCCAGCTGGGGGCGTTTTTGGTGTGCATCGTGGCTGAGGTGTCCCTGCTGGCCGCGATGGCCTACGACCGCTACGTGGCCATCTGTAACCCCCTGCTCTACTTGGTGGCTTTATCTCGCCACAAGTGCCTTCTGCTCGTATCCCTCACCTACGTCTATAGCTTGTCCACGGCTATCGTGACGTCATTGTCTGTATTCTCTGTGTCCTACTGCTCTTGCAATGTGATCGATCATTTCTACTGTGACACTGTCCCTCTGCTAGCCTTGTCCTGCTCTGACACCTACCTCCCCAAGACAGTCATTTTTGTATCTGCAACTACAAATTTGGTCTGCTCCATGACTGTAGTGCTTGTATCGTATTTCAACATCATTCTGTCCGTTTTAAGTCTACGTTCATCAGAAGGAAGGAAAAAGGCCTTCTCCACGTGTGCTTCGCACCTGGTGGCTGTCACCGTTTTCTATGGGACGCTGCTGTTCATGTATTCGCAGCCTCGGGGCAACCATTCGCTGGACACTGATAAAATGGCTTCTGTGTTTTATACACTGGTGATCCCCATGCTGAACCCCATGATCTACAGCCTCAGGAGTAGGGACGTGAGGGCGGCCTCGGAGAGGTTGCTCACAAGCCTGTGCTGTTCCTTTAAATCAAAATAACTGCACAACTGCGGTGAGTGAAGAACCGGGCAGGGGGGCGCCTCTGTGTCAGGGAAAGCGAAGGTCGGCGGCCGGCCTGCAGGGTGCCAAGTAATCCTGGGAACCCAAGGAGCTAGGATTAGGGATTACAAAACAAACTGGGGCTCTTGTAGGTATGCGGTTAATATAGAAACTAAGCGTTATTGCCCTGGCCAGCGTGTTCAGTGGGTTGAGGTTGATCCTTGCACCGAAAGGTCACCTGTTTGATTCCCGGTCAGGGCACACACCCAGGTTGCAGGCTCAGTCCCCGTCGGGGTGTGTAAGGGGGGTAACTGCTCAATGTTCTCTCTCATGTCCATGTTTCTTTGGGCATAATGGATTGTTTCATCTTGAAGAACTGTGATTGCAGATGACTAAAAACCTTTTTACAGTTAACAAAATTAAACTTACAAGTGTATTTGAAATAAAACTTTCTAACTCTTTCTTAATATCATTTGAATCAAGAAATACACACTACCGGTAAGTGGACCTGGAGATTATCACGCTAAGTGAAATAAGCCAGAGAAAGACAAATACCGTGTGATCTCACTTATATGTTGAACCTAATCTTTGTTTCTGAAAAGAGAAACAGAGGCATGGATGCATGGAGCAGACTCACAGCTATCAGGGCAGGGGAGTTGGGGGGCTGGATGAAAGAAGGTGAAGGGATTAAACAAAAGAAAGCAAACATATCATCTATCATCTATCTATCTATCTATCTATCTATCTATCTATCTATCTATCTATCTATCTATCCATCTATCTATCTNTATCTATCTATCTATCTATCTATCATCTATCTATCTATCTATCTATCTATCTATCTATCTATCTATCTATCCATCTATCTATCTATCTATGCACATACACACACATAGAGAGAACAGCGTGGCGGTGGCCAGAGGGAAAGGGGCTGGGGATTGGTGGAGGTGGGCAAAGGGGGAGGTGGGGAAGGAAAGGAACTTTGCTTGGAGGCATGGGCCCACAATGCAGGGAGCAGATGATGTTTTGTTGAGTTGTACACTTGAAACCTGTATGGTTTTGTGAACCAATGTCACCCCAGTAAATTCACTTGGAAAATGATAAGGTTATGAACCACGGAAAAGCAAAGTTGAAACAATTTCTAAACTGGGGTCAAATGTCATCACAATTCCTAAAACAGGAAGATAATAAAAAAAGCTAAGAGTGAAAAGTTTTATATCATCTATCATGACCACAGCTTTGAGACAAAGAATTCACTATTACAATGAAAGGTTTATTTAAGCGGAAACTAAGGGCAAATTTTAAATTCACCGTCAGTATATAAAAGCACAAGTCCACTCCTTCTCCCCACACACTAATCTGGCAATCTTTCCTAGTCATCACCCAGCTCAGAATGGCTAGGATGGCAGCTAAGGCACGAAGCTGTTACCAACTGTCCTGTGCATGCAGTACTGGGGGGTGGTCCTTGAGGAACTGGATGCACCCATCACAGAGAGCTATTTGTCAAAAATTTTAAAAGGAAATCCCTGCCTGCTTTTAAAAGTGAAATTTGAAGACTGACACTAATAATCTACAACAATAAAAATAATTTTAAAAAAACATAAAAATAATCGTAACATTTTAAGAGTTAAGAGAACCTTAGAGCAATCATATACCAAAGGCAGAGCTGTAGATACGCAATACTTCAAAAACAGAGAATCACATCCATAACTCTTCACCTTTCCTCAGCATCCCAACTGAGCATGGATGGTAATTTTTCTGATAATTTTGCTTGCATCATGCTTTGAGATAAGGTCCTCTGGGATGGAGACACTGACAAAACCCTGCAGTCGTCTGCTGGCCAGAACCATTATGAGAAGAAATAGGAGCGCCCTTTACCCAGGTAGGTTAGTGAGTCTAACTTAAAATGGTGGTTTTAACTCACTGATGTGTAATAACATTGCTATAGTAGCTCAAGATAAAAAGTTTTTTTTTAATTAAAGAGTAAATACAATGGGCTAGAATAAAAAAGTTTGAAATACATTTTGTAAACTAAAGATAAACAATGTTTTTTCTGCTTTTATATCCATTTTGATAAAAGTACACAGATTATTTGCATTTGAAATGGACAAGAGCAACAGAAGGGCTGGGGGGAAGTGAAAGGATAACCTACTTGAATCACTATTTTTACATGTATAGATGAGTAAGTTGAGTTTCAAAATGTTCAAGTGATTTTCCCAAGCTCATGTAGTTCATTAAAGTCAAAACCATGTCTAGAAGGTAAGGTTGAGTAGGCATTATGGCTCATATATTTAGGATTTGTGGAAATTATACATGTACTTAATTCCATTTTTTGCATGCCCTCTGCTTGAAACCTTCTTTGCCTTAATTCTTTCCCTAATGTTTTTTATAATATTTACCCAGGGAAGCATTATCTCCACCACCTCCCCTTAAAGTCTTCAAGTAACAGGGTCTCCTCTCATACATTCCCTTTGTATCCAGCACTTAACTCCATCAGGTGATTATAACTCACTGTTCTCAATCTGCTCGATTACTATCTTCCTGTCTTTATACCCTAAGCTCCCAGATTGCTGAACTCTGACCATTATTTGTCATGACCTCAAAACCTAGAGAGATGTTTAATACATAATGGGCAGTCAATCAAGATTTTTAATGCATACAAAATTTCAAAAATTATATACTGATTTATTTGCTCATATATACAGGGTGTCCCAAAAAATGTATACACACTTGGAATAATTATAAAGGCAGTGTTTATAAAATAGATTTCATTTTCAAAATGTAATAGAAATCAGCTGTGAAAGTGTGCACACATTTTTATTTTTATTTTTTTGGTGGAGAAAGGGGCTAGGAATGGCAAGGACAAAAGTAGAGAAGCGCAGAAGGGAATGCTGTTATTGACAAAAGGAGACCAGTTATATTAATGGTACCTATGGATGGCCACCAGTGTTGAAAGAGATGAATGGAGTTGGGATTATAAAATTTTTTAAGGAAAAGATGGTGAAAAGTCACATATGCTTCCAAATATAATTCACACTTTATTTTTATAAAGTAAAATGGTTTGTATGTACAAATGTCAGGGTTTCTTTGGTTTTGAAGTAGAAGAAAAAAAAAGAGAGGAAAAGAGACAAGAAAATTTAGATAAAGCTTTCTTTCTTTCCAGTCTACTATATTGTCTGTTTTTACAATGCTCTGTCTTCAGACTCTAGTGTCTGGAAATTAATAGTTCCCAAAATACAGTCATGACTGAGGGAATAAGTGAATTGAAAGAGGTTCCTAAGGAGACCTCAGCTAGACATGATCAAGACAAATATGAAGGACAGAACAAGCAGGTCAGAGTGGGAAGTGTCTCTTGGAGCTGTTTATAGGTAAATTGCTGATCGCCTTGTGTTGGTGAAAGCTTGATGGTGTTCTGTGGGTAAGGAGTTGCTTTTGAAACTGTGTTTGTAATTACCAGTAGATCATAAATTCACCTTTTAGAACCTTGATCAGTATTATTTTATTTGAATAAGATAGAACAGATTGTAGTAGAGCACAAAAGAACATACAAGATAAGAGTATGCCAGATAATGAGAGTATTATTCTGGGTATATTACTAGCTCCATGCTTTCAGGCTCAAACTGTTTTTACCACAAACCACAGAAATATTTCTTTAATGAAAAGTTGAAAGAAATTTAGAAATCGGCTTTTAGACAGGCATAAGTTTCCAAATTTTTAGAAAGAAAATATGTCAATTTTATTCTAAATTACAGTAATCTTAAAATTGCATGAGGATTTATTCTCTTTGATCATGTAAGTTCATCCTTTAGAGATAAAGATGTTTGTGCAATACTACAGCAATCAAGACCTAGAAATAATTTAAGTTTCTAACAACAGAATAAACAAGATATGCGACATTGATAGCATAGTGATAAGGCTTGTGCCCTTGAGTCAGAAACACATGCATTTGGATCACAACTAGCTGCACTTACACCAACCCTCTGATTTTGTTTCGGGTGTTTCTTTTCCAATCTCCTCCTCATCTGTAAAATGGGCATAACAATGTGGATTTTACTTAAAGTTCAGTGAGATAAAGTCATGTAAATAATTGCTTTATTGCACCTTCCATACTTACCATTTTTAGTATTTGCATTATTAACATAACTATAAAGATTATTTTGCAAACTGTAGTGAGCTTTAAGTGATAAATTATTACCATAAAACATTTTTTTAAACTATGTTTCTGACAGCGTTGGGACAATGTGAAGCTGTGTCTGCACAGGTACAGTGACATCAGTCACAGTGATGACACAGCAGATTTGTTTTCCTTTATGCTATTTATGTTAACATTTTTTTCCAATAAAAAAAAATAGCTTAACCATTTTAACAAGGCAGCTTAGTCTTAAAGAGCTTAATGAATAAGACCTTTGAATAGAAAGCAAGGCAATGTGGACTGTTCCCCAGCACCCATCTTTTTATACACAATAGATTTGGGAGAAGAGACATGCGCCTGTACTACATTATCCTTACCTGTGATCCATCCATTTCCCAGTATCCCAGCATCTAACAACCTCTCTTAGCAACGAAACCTCTTTACAAGACACTCAAGTATAAAAACACCACTTATGGGAATCTCAACTTGAATTTCCCTCTGTTCTCTGCTTCCTCCTGCAGACGCCTTGAAGAGACATGGCCCCGGTTAACCGCACCCAGGTGAAGGAGTTCATTCTCCTGGGCCTCACAGGTCGCCAGGACTTGAAGGTGCCTCTCCTTGCGGTTTTCTTATCCATCTACCTCTTCACAGTAGGAGGCAACCTGGGTCTGATCCTGGTCATTAGAGCGGATGCGAGACTCAACACACCAATGTACTTCTTTCTGAGCAACCTGGCTTTTGTCGATTTCTGTTATGCTTCTGTCATTACACCCAAAATGCTTGGGAATTTCTTGTACAAGCAGAATGTTATCTCCTTCAATGCCTGTGCCGCTCAGTTAGGCTGTTTCCTCACTTTCATGGTATCTGAGTGCTTGCTGCTCGCTTCCATGGCCTATGACCGATACGTGGCCATTTGTAACCCTCTCCTCTATAGGGTCATAATGTCCCCAGGGATCTGCATTCAGCTGGTGGCTGTCCCTTATTGCTATAGCTTCCTGATGGCACTGTTTCACACCATCCTCACCTTTCGCCTCTCCTATTGCCACTCTAATGTCATCAATCATTTCTACTGCGACGACATGCCTCTCCTCAGGCTGACTTGCTCAGACACTCACTCCAAACAGCTGTGGATCTTTGCCTGCGCTGGTGTCACGTTCATTTCCTCTGTTCTGATTGTCTTTGTCTCCTACGTGCACATTATTTCTGCCATCCTGAGGATGCGCTCAGCCGAGGGCAGGCGCAAGGCCTTCTCCACCTGTGGCTCCCACATGCTGGCAGTCACCATATTCTACGGGACCCTGATCTTTATGTACTTACAGCCAAGCTCTAACCATTCCCTTGACACAGACAAGACGGCCTCTGTCTTCTACACAGTGATCATTCCCATGCTGAACCCCTTGATCTACAGCCTCAGGAACAAGCAGGTGAAAGACGCCCTGAAGAAACTTGTCATTAGAAACCAAGCTTTTCTGTTGAAATTAAGAAAGTGACTTCAACAAATAAAATAGATTTTATCTTTATGGTCTGATTTTTGTCCCTCTTAAAAAACTATCAGAATGCCTCGTTTTTTTAAAAAATTTATTGGGATAATATTGGTTAGTAAGATTATATAGGTTTCAAGTGCACATTTCTATGATGCATCATCTGTACATTGTATTGTGTGCCCACCACCCGAAGTCAAATCATCTTCCGTCACCATATATTTGACCCCTTTGCCCTTTAATACCCCCCACCCCCTTCCCTCTGGTAACCACCACAATGTTGTCTGTGTCTATGAGATTTTATTTTTGGTTTGTTTTTCTTGTTTGTTCATTTGTTGCTTTAAATTTTATAACCTACATATAAGTGAAATCATATGGTTTTTTACTTTTTCTGTCTGACTTATTTTTTTTAGCATGATTCTCTCAAGATCCATCCATGTTGTCACAAATGGCAGTGTTTCATCTTTTCTATGGCTGAGTAGTGTTCCATTGTACATGTACCACATCTTCTTTATCCAATCATTTATCAAGGGGCAGTTTGGTTGTCCATGCCTAGTCTTAATAGAGGATTTCTATTTATTTGTTCAATGAGTAATGAAAATTTCTAAATATGTTCACTTAGAATGAAATTTCTAAAAGTAAAAGTAACCATATGAATATACCACCATTATCTCATTTTTCAAATGAAAAGTGTACTAAAAATAATTCTTTCGTTCATAAAAATGTATACCAATTTCCCCATTTCTCAAATTAAAAAATTCCTGGAAAGCCATTACGTAAATATATAGTTACAAGTCAAACAGAGACTAAAGTTCAGACTCCTCACCCCTCCAAAACCCCCAGTTCAAGATTCTCTGGTTGCATTAACAATATCCCACATTAAAAGCAAAGATGCATAGCCTAAATAATTTTTCCTGATTTGTTAATATCTTGAAAAAATTTTAAAAATATAAAATGTTTTCATATTTATACACTTACCAAGTTCACTTTATTAAAGGGAATAGTACTGCATCTTAACTTTACTTATATCATTAATTTAACATGCTTTTCTACTTACCTGGAAGTCTGGTTTGGTCTCGAAAGACTCTGAGAGAATTGTTTTTTTTCATGCCTATGAGACCTCATTATATTTTTTCTAGTTATCTTAAATAATAATAATCTAATTCAAGGATAGAATCCCAGAGGGGCATCATACATCCTAAACAAATATACTCGAAATAATTGAAATATTTTGCCAATAGCAAGGATCATATGCAGTTACACTGGGCAAACCTTGGGTAAGTTGGTTACTGTTGATTATGTTATAGCTTATAACACAATGAACCAAGCAGGCAATGTAGCCTAGTGAAAAGAACATATGTTTGTTGTCAAAGAATGGCTCTATAGTGTGGGTAGGCTCCCACAAATTTATTTATCAATTAAATAACAATGTCACTAAATGTGGAGTCTTTTTAAAGAATAAACAACATGAAAAAGGGTAATAGTAAATTATAAACACTTGCATAACATTTTTTTCTTTCTATGAGCCTAAAGACCTGAGTTCTTCATCCCATCTCTCCAAACAAACTTGAGGGAACAATTGATAAATGAGAATTACCATACACAACTGATAATTGTAATATAGATAGAGTTATAGCTGCAGATATTTGAGCCTATCTTTTAAATAAATGCAATGATAATTTTACAATTTTCAAGTTCACATAAAATGGTTTTGAGTTTGTGACTCATTCATAAAATTTAATAATTTGTTATCTAAAGGTCATTTGAATGCGAATGACAAAAGAGTATAAATATTCTACTAATGCCTGGAGAGAGATAACATTCAAATAAAAATATTTCTTTTTTAAAAAATATATATTTTTATTGATTTCAGAGAAAGGAAGGGAGAGGGAGAGAGAGAGAGAAACATCAATGATGGGAGAGTTGCCATTGATCGGCTGCCTCCTGCACGCCCCCGACGGGGATCGAGCCCGCAACCAGGGCCTGTGCCCTGACAGGAATCGAACAGGGATCTCTTGGGTCCTAGGTCGATGCTCAGCCGCTGAGCCACACCCTGCAGGGCCATGCTGCTCTTTTTAACTTGCTATCATGTGAACCTTTCCAGTCAGTATCATGATTGCCTGAATCCTCAGTTGAGTTAAAATGTCTAATATTATATATAACATAGTATATTACTATTCATTTTATTCATTTAATAACTTAACGGAGAGCTATTGAGCATCTTCTGTGTACTGGATACTATTAGAGGTAGGTGATTAAATTGGGTATATAATAGAAATATTATTGCTTAACAATAAGTTTTCAGTTTCAGATGTTTTACAGGCATGCTAATTGGTTGCAACATGGCGTAGCAAGTGCTATGGCAAAGGAACCAGGGGTACAAAAATGTTTATATGAGGGGCTCTTAACCTGGCTGACAATTAATGAAAGGCTCCAAGAGGGAGTGATTGAACAGATCACAGAAAGTTAGGCAGAAGCAGAGTCCAGCAGAGGACACGATAGAATAAAAGTGTTCTGAGCAGAGAATAAAGCATGTATAAAATTCTGGCTCACATTTGAATAATTTCAGTAATTTGAAATTTCTGCAACATGGAAACTATATGAAGAATATGAAAAGAGTCTGGCCTGATCTGAAAGGAGGGAACTAAATTTTCAGGAGTTATGTCAGCCTCGTTAAAGAGCTTGGTATTTATCTTAAGGATAATAGAAAGACATAGAAGGATTTAATCAGACGAATGTAAGAATGAAGTCTGCATCTGTAGAAGTTTATAAATACAAGGAACAGAGAGCAGTAGGAAAGATTGGAGGCAGGAATGAAAGTTAGTGTCAGTTGCAAAACAAAACAAAACAGTCCTTGCGATTGGTTCAAGGAAACAATAAAAATGAACACATTTGAAAATATATAAGGTATAAAATTGTTAGAAATTGGGAACAAATTGTATATTGGCATGAGAAACAGGAAAACACAGTAAAAGATCATTGGACTCAGACTTGAAAAACTGTTCATTGAGATAGAAAATATATACTCCTGGTCTTCCGTATTAGGTCCAGTGGAGATACCAAGTTCTTTTGTGTATGTGATAATGTGATACTTTTGATGGACATGTAGAATATCTAAGTGGTAATTTCTGGGAGGCATTTAGATGTATAAATCTGGACTAGATAAAAAATCTGGGGTAGAAATATATATATTCATGCATAATCAGCATATAGATGCCTATTGAGGACTGGATAAGATCACTGAACCAGAAGTTGTAAGGCAGAAGCAGTGGGGGCCTTGGAAAGAGCTTGAAGAACATCTTTAATGCATGGGCGATAAAAGCAGATCCCCCCAGGTAGAGAATTAAGTGGTCAAGCAATAGACTCAGAGGCTGCCATGTTCTGGAAACCAAAAGTGTATTCAATAGCGCCCAATGCTGCAGAGCTGCCAAAGAAAAAGAGGCCTTATTGGATTTGGGGATAGGCAAGTTGATAGTAAACTATGGGAAAGTAAAGTGCAATGTACTTGGTTAAGTTATAAATATGATTGAGAAATTGGGGATCAATGTCTGTTCTGAGATGTTTGGTTAAAATGTGGTGAATGCGAGAGAAAAGAGAAAGGAATAACCAAGATAAACTTTCCAAAGAGATGTCAATCAAAATAAAAGGGATGTGCTTTTTATATTTTATTATGTTTTACCTTGACCATCCTGACCATCTACAATGTGCATGTGAAGTTACCTGAGACAATGTAGTGATAAAGGAAAATCAAGTAAACTCATCTTCTGCTCTGTTTAGGAAAGGAGAGCATCGTTTCAATTCCACTAGCTTTTAAATACTGCAAATCCAGTTTGAATTTATAAAAATGTTCTGCTAAATTTAGTTCTTTTAAATGTTGCCCAAATGCTATTCACTTTGAACCATTTAGATACTTAAGGATAGAAGCTAAAATGATGTCTCTTTGTCATTTAAAGTTGTTTTACAGTATGAAAAATCATTCACTGGTGTGTATTTTGCCGAAAGACATAGCCAGAAAGTTCACAATCCTATTTTTCTTCAGTATCAATAGTATATGTGAATTAAAAAAAAAATAGAAAATGGAGATGAGCAAGAAATAAAAAAAATTAAATTATAACAAACAGTATGCCTAAAGATAAATAGTACTAACATTTTTCATTGAATCTATTGGGGTGACATTGGTTAATAAGATTATACAGGTTTCAAGTGCACAATTCTATGGTACATCATCTGTACATTGTATTGTGCGTCCACCACCCAAAGTCAAATCTTCTTCCATCACCATATATTTGACCCCCTTTGCCCTTTACTACCCCCCACCCCCCTTCCCTCTGGTCACCACCACACTGTGGTCTGTGTCTATGTTTTTGTTTGTTTGTTTGTTTGTTTTGTTTGTTCATTTGTTGCTTTCAGTTTTATAGCCCACATGTGAGTGAAAGCATATGGTTTTTTACTTTTTCTATCTGACTTATTTTGTTTAGTATGATACTCTCAAGATCCATCCGTGTTGTCACAGTGTTTGGTCTTTTCTGTGGCTGAGTAGTGTTCCATTGTACATGTACCACACCTTCTTCAGCCAGTCATCTAATGAAGGAGCCTTCGGTTGTTCCTGTGTCTTGACCACTGTGAATAGTGTTGCAATGAACATAAGGGATGCATATATCTTTTGGAATCAGTGTTTTCAAATTTTTTGAAAGAGTCATTACTGGGTCATATGGTAACTCTATTCTTAATTTTTGAGGAACCTCTGTGCTGCTTTCCATAGTGGCTGTACCAGTTTGCAGTCCCACCAGCAGTGAATGAGGGCTCATTTTCCTCCACAGCCTCTCCAACCCTTATTATCATCTATCTTGTTGACAATGGCCATTCTAACAGGTGTGAGGTGGTATCACATTGTAGTTTTGAATAGATAGTCAAGTTGAGCATCTTTTCATGTATCTGTTGGCCATTTGTATATCTGTTCAGGCCCTCTTCCTATTTTTTAATTGGATTGCTTGTTTGTTTGGTGTTGA